CGGGGCTGTGACCACCCTGTTCTAGTGGAAGGTGTCCCTGCCTGTGGCAGGGGGGTTGGAACTAGATGAACTTTAAATCCTTTCCAACCCAAACCATTTAATGATTCTATGACATGACACTCACAGGAGCTGGACATGTGGACGTGACACCCTTGGGACTAGGACACAACATCATGACACACTCATGAGCAGGACACACTGCCACAGCACCTTCAGGACCAAGACACGCTTCCATGGCATCCTCAGGACCAGGACATGAAGCCATGGCATCCTCAGGACCTGGACACACAGACATTAGAGAAGCATGATATCACAGAATGGAAAGGACTTTAAACCTCATCTAGTTCCAACCCCCTGCCATGGGCAGGGAGACCTTCCACTAGACCAGATTGCTCCAAGCCCCTTCCAACCTGGCCTTGAACACTGCCAGGGACGGAGCTGCCACAGCTTCTCCGGGCAACCTGCTCCCCCGGGCAACCTGTGCCAGGGCCTCACCACCCCCATCGTAAAATGTTTTCTCCACATGTCCAACCCAACACTACCCTCATTCGGTTTGAAACCATTGCCCCTTTTCCTGCCACTACAGGCCCTGGTGCAAAGCCTTTCTCCATCTTTCTAACAAGCCCCCTCTATATATTGAAAGGCTGCAGTAAGGTCACCCCAGAAACACGGGACACAACAGCATGGCACCCTCAGGATGAGGACACAAGCATATGACACCCTCAGGACAACGACGCACTGACATGGCATTCTCAGGACACATGGACATGACACTGTCAGGACAAGGACACAATGGCATGACACTCTCATGATGAGGACACACTGCTATGACACCTGCAAAAAATGACTTGGCATCATGTTATCACAGAATCATTTAGGTTGGAAAAGAGCTTTAAGATCATCAAGTCCAACTATTAACCCAGCACTGCCAAGTCCACCACTAAACCATGTCCATCAGCACCACATCTACACATCTTTTAAATACCTGCAAGGATGGTGATTCGACCACAGCCCTGGGCAGCCTGTTCCAGTGCTTGACAACCATTTTGGGAAAGAAATTTTTCCTCATTTCTAATCTAAACGTCCCTTGGCACAACTTGAGGCCATTACCTCTTGTCCTATCACTTGTCATCTGAGAGAAGAGACTGACCCCTACCTCACCACAACCTCCTTTTGAGTAGCTGTAGAGAACGATAAGGTCTTCCCTGAGCCTTCTCTTCTCCAGACTAAACACCTTCAGCTCCCTCAGACATTCCCCATCACACTTGTGCTCCAGACCCTTCACCAGCTCCATTGCCCTTCTCTGGACCTGCTCCAGTACCTCAATGTTTTTCTTGTAGTGATGGGCCCAGAACTGAACACAGGATTCGAGGTGCAGCCTCACCAGTGCCAAGTACAGGAGGATGATCACTGCCCTGGCCCTGCTGGCCACACTATTGCTGATACAGGCCAGGATGCTGTTGGCCTTCTTGGCTGTCTGGGCACAAGATGGCTCATGTTCAGCTTTGTCAATCAGCACCCCCAGGTTCTTTTCTGCTGAGCAGCTTTCCAGCCACTCTTCCCCAAGCCCATAGTGTTCTATGGGGTTGTTGTGGCCCAAATGCAGGACCCAGCACTGAGCCTTGTTGAACCTCACACCATTGACCACAGCCCATCAATCAACCTGTCCAGATCCCTCTGCAGAGCCTTCCTATCCTTCAGTTGATCCACACTCCCAGCCAACTTGGTGTCATCAGGAAACTTAGTGAGGGTGCACTTGATCCCCTTGTCCAGATCACTGATAAAGACATTAAGCAGAATTGGCCCAACACTGAGCCCTGGGGAACACCACTTATAACCAGTCACTGACTGGGTTTAACTCCTTTCCCCACAACTCTTGAGTGAAGAGGGTCCAGCCCTGAGTGGTCCAGCCATCCAGCCAGTTTTTTACCCAGAGAAGAGTACACCCATCCAAGCCATGAACAGCCAAACAGCGTCAAAAGCTTTACTAAAGTCCAGGTAAGACAACATCCACAGTCTTTCCCTCATCCACTGAGCGGTCACCTTGTCACAGAAGGAGATTGGGCTACTCAAGCAGGACTTGACTTTCATAAACCCATACTGACTGGGCCTGGTTGCTTGGTTGTCCTGTATGTACCATGGCCTCCTCAGGACCTGGAAACACAGCCACAGCACCCTCAGGCCCAAGATACACAGCCATGACACCCTCAGGACCAGAACACAGTATCACATCACCCTCAGGAGCGGGACACAATCCCTTGAAACCCTCAGGAGGTGGACATGCTCTCATGGAGTTCTCAGAACAAGGACACACAGCACCAACGTCCGTATGAAAAGGAAAACAATGCCATGACACCCTCAGGACGAGGACACGGTGCCATGAGATCCTCAGGAGCAGGACAAAATGCCATGAAAACCTCAGGATAATGACACGTGAAAATGACACCTTGCAGAGCAAAACATATTGCCGTGGCACCTTCAGAAAGATGTAATGCCATGACAATTTCATGGTGAGGATCAGGACACATAGATGTGACACACTAAGGACCAGGACACACAGATGTAGCACCCTGAGGACCAGGATACACTGCCATGGCACCCTCAGGAGCAGGATAAAATACCATGGCAACTTCAGGACCACGACACTCTACCATGGCAATCTCAGGACAAGAACACACTTCCATGGCACCCTCAAGAACATGACACAATGACATGGCATCCTCAGGGCCTGAACAGAGGGACATGATACCCACAGGACCAGGACAGAAGTAGGCGACACCATGAGGACCTGGATAATCATGGGAACTCTAGGACCAGGACATGCTTCCATGACGCCCTAAGGAACAAGACACACCGCTATTACATCCTCTACACCAGGGGACACCACCATAACACCCTCTGGAAAAGGACACACATCCATGGCATCCTCAGGACCAAAACACAAATATATGACACCGTGAGGACCCGAAGACACTGTCAGGTGTAACTTCAGAACCACAACATGCTACCAAGACACCCTAAGGAATAGCACACACTCCCATGACATCCTCTGCACCAGTACAAAATGCCATGTCACTCTCAGGAAAGAGCAGACACATCCACGGCATTCTCAGGACCAAGACACAAGGATGTGACACCAAGAAGACATGGACACAATGCTACGACACCTTCAGGACCAGGACAAACTGCCATGATGCCCCAAGGACCAAGGTGACACCATGAGGACTAGGCAATGGAGCCATGACACTCACAGGACCAGAACAAAAGTCCATGGCATCCTCAGGACCATGACACAATGCATGGCATCTTTAGGTCCAGAATAAGTGGTCAAGACACCCTCAGGACCAAGACGCACCTCCATGGCACACTCAGGATGAGGACTCATTGCCATGACATCCTGAGGAGCAGGTCATGTTGCAATGAACACCCTCAGGGCCAAAACACACCATGACACCCTCAGGACAAAGACACAAGGACATGACACCATGAGGACCTGGATACACTACCAAGACATCTTCAGGACCACAACACAATGCCATGTCACCCTCAGGATCAAGATAAATGGAGGTGACACCATGAAGACCTGAATACAACACCATGGCATGCTTAGGACCAAGACACGAGGAAATGACACCATGAGGACCTGGATACACTACTATGACACTTTCAGGACCTGGACAAGTGACCACAAAACCCTGAGGACCAAGACAAACCACCATGATGCCCTTAGAACCTGGACACAACTTCATGCCACCCTCAGGACCAAGACAAATGGAGGTGACACCATGAGAATCAGGACACAACGCCACTGCACCTTCGAGACCAGGACAAGAGGGCACAGAACCCTCAGGGCCAGGACACAACAGCACAATACCCACTGGTGCGTGATACATGGCCATGACACCCTCAGATCAGGAAATGGTGCCATGATACTCTCAAGACAATGACATGCTGGGACGCCACCCAGCTGTCCCAGCCCCCATGTCAGTGAGGACATCCCCAGTACAGGGGGGACACTAGAGCTGCCCATCCTGCCTGGCTCACCTGTGCTGAACCACTGTGGTGTGGGAACAGCGTTGGGACCCCTCATTCCCATGGGGTCAGCAGCAGGAACATGGAATGGCTCTTGCATGGGTGCACATGTGCAAGACAAGCAGATCCAGGGACTGCATGACAGGCAGAGTTGGCCACTGCAGCATGTGCATGTAACAGGAAGGGACAGGGCATATAATAACCACAGCAGGGACAGCCCAAGACGGGTGCTTGTGGGTGTTGCTACGTGTGTGTGTACGCAGCGGGCACAGATGGTCTGTGACATCTACATGTGTGACAGGCAGACCCAGGCCCTGTGATACATGTGCAGATGCATGTGCAAGTGTGACACACACAAACATGGCCTATGGTGACTGTGAGAGTGGGAAGGAGTGTGACGAGCACAGCCGGAGCACATGCGTGTGTCAGATGGGCAACACCAACACCCGCAGGTGGGTGTGTGTGTGTGGCAGGCAGTGCCAGCACCCGCGGGAAACGCACAGCCAGCCCCGGCTCATGAGCGCAGCAACAGAGCAGCGAGTGTGTGCAACTGTGAGACGGG